GGGACACAGAGGACACAGAGGACACAGAGGACACAGTGGACACAGAGGACACAGAGGACACAGAGGACACAGTGGACACAGAGGACACAGAGGACACAGAGGACACCGGGACACAGAGGACACAGAGGACACAGAGGACACAGAGGACACAGAGGACACCGGGACACAGAGGACACAGAGGACACAGAGGACACAGAGTACACAGAGGACACAGAGGACACAGAGTACACAGAGGACACAGAGGACACAGAGGACACAGAGGACACAGAGGACACAGAGTACACAGAGGACACAGAGGACACAGAGGACACAGAGGACACAGTGGACACTGTGAAAGGGACCAGCTGAAAGAAGATGTTTTTTATTTTTATTATTTAGTTGTTTTAATCTTCTCGTCAATCAGTCCTGCTTCAAACCTTCGTCTTATTCTCCTGCTGCAGCTGATCTTTGTATCTTTTTATTTTTTGATTTTATGAGCTAATCATCTTTTAATCTTATGATCCTATGATGTTTGGAGCCCAGTGTTTCTTAAAAATAAAAGCTGAATTTATTTTGATCTGCTTTTTTCAAACCTTCAAACAGTGACTCAAACATTGTGTGCATATTTTACTCTGAAACATTTGTTATATTGTTTTACTCTGAAACATTTGTTATATTGTTTTACTCTGAAACATGTTTTAATATGTGACACTGTTCCAAATGATTAATGTGACCTGATGTCATCAGTTGTTTCTGCTCACCTGAGCTCACCTGTAACTGTAACGTGGGCGTGTTCAACTCTCAAACAGATCATCTGACAGCTCAGGTTTCTTGTTTTTYCTCACAGCTGCAGTAAAACGAATATTATCTCCTCGTATTACTATATTTATTCTGCCTTCTGTTGCCTGTCCTGACTAACATCCATCCAGTCAGAGGCAAACTGGTGTTTAATGCTTTAACCTGATAAATGTTTTAACATTTCTAACATTAAGGGAAGAAAACTTACAACCAAAGGACCTAAAGTCACATAAATATAACTTTTATTAAYAACAAAGCAACTTTCCTGAACAAACCTTGTCTGGTTGATAATATTTTATCAATGAAAGTAACAAATGTAACAACAAAGTAAAAAAAAAAATGTCTGTTTCTAGTGGATTTGMGAATCTGCGGTCTTATTGGTGGAAGGATGGACTGACAGACTGTGAATCCGTAAATTTAATTTCTCAAGTCAAATGATCGCAAAGAAAAAAAAAAAAAGAATAACACACAACAGAGCAGAAAACCACAAACCATAAAGCATCGATAAGACAAACAATAAAACTCGTATGACCTCGTTCAAATATGAGGCATCAAGTATCAGGTAAAATGTTAAAAATGTTTCTAACACAGTTTTATTATTTAGAGTGCTGGAATTTTACCTCTAACATTTTATTGTTATTTCACTCCTTGTTCTTACTTTTAGCAGATTTATAATAAATGTTAAATTTAAATGTTCTGTTCAAATGTTAGATCCTAAATCTAAATGTCTGTGGCTAAACGATAAACTTGACATTTATATATTTCAGAATGGAATGCAGCCATGTGAAAAAACATACTAAGTATACTAAATCTAAGTATACTTTAGTATACTTGCAGCCGCACTAATCATCAGTATACTTAAAGAGTGCTATTTTGCAACAACTACTTAAAAATAACTATACTTTAGTTGTATTTAAGTTGTACAAAAGCACAATTTTAAGTGTATTACGTATACTTTTAAATACTAAAATGAACAACTTTGAATATACTTAGTAAGTTTAAATGTATTTCTTTGTCTATTAAAGTGTACTAAGTATATTTAAAGTTGTTCCAGGAACAGGAAGTTGTCGTCACCATGGTAACTGTCCAAGCTCTGGCAGCGACTGAATGCTGGAGAACAAACGCAGTAAGATCGTTTAGAAGACATTTTTTAAATAAACCAATAAAATATTTAATTAGGCCCACATTTTAGAGAGTTTTCAGACATGTCTGTATTTGTGATAAACAGTGTGATATCTTGTCAAAACTACATTTGAAACAATTTTTTATTATTTATTTACTTTTTTCCTTTCTTCTTTATTTAAATATGGACCAGGGTTTAGTGTCTTTAATAAAGTCAGAACTGATTTTAACATGATTTATATAACCTTTGTGAAATTATATTTGTTGGTGAGGTGTTTACTTAGTATGTGTGCAAACTTTTACATTGAGAAAAAACATGAAAATTTAATATTTATTTAAAAATTAAATAATGAAAATGTGTTTCTGAGTTTTTTAATATTTTGTTTTACACAAAAACAACAATGTTAAACTTAAGTTTTTTAAACTACACACATGAAACAGTTTTATTTCAGATTAAATGTCTTTAATCTCACCACATAAAAATAATCAAATTAAAAATTAGATCAACCAAAACAGCTAAAAAATTTTTTAAAAAGAAAACAAACACATGAATGGTTAAAAAAGAGCATTTAAAATGTTTAAAATGAAAATTCTGAGTCAACATTAGTGAATTAAACTGGATTAAATGAGTTTTTCTGAGTTTTTCTGATGTAATTTTGTGTTAAGATGAACCTCAGTGAGACTCTGGACCAGATCCAGGAACAGATCAGATGTTTGTTGATAAAAACTGAACCGTCCTGAAGAGAAACATCAGAGCTGAAACATGAAAACTGATCTGTTGGTTTCATGTTTCTGACAATATTTATTTTAAAATTTATTTTCAACATTTATTTTGGCTCCATGACACCAACAGGACTCTGACAATATAAGGACCGTCCTCACGTCTCTGAGACATCCAGTGTCCAGCTCCTGTCTCTGCAACCTCTGACCCACAACAAGGTCGAACTCTTTCTTTGGTTTACCGGCTGCTTGTTTGTTTGTTTGTTTGTTTGTTTGTTTGTGATTACCAGGATTAAAGCTTCTGTTGTCCTCTTTCCTCTCAGATGACTTCAGGTCTTTTCTTCACGCTGCTCCTCTGGCTGACCTGCGGACTCTGGACCGCTGATGTGAGTCTGCAGGTTTTTATTCTCCCTCCAGACCCTGAGGTCCAGAGATCCAGACCCTGAGGTCCAGAGATCCAGACCCTGAGGTCCAGAGATCCAGACCCTGAGGTCCAGAGATCCAGACCCTGAGGTCCAGAGATCCAGACCCTGAGGTCCAGAGATCCAGACCCTGAGGTCCAGAGATCCAG